ATATTATCAGGAAAGCAAGGCTCCTCTCCATTTTGTTAGCTGAGTATTAGTTAATGTATAAAAAAAAATCAAGATATACAATAGTGTTTTTAAAGAAGAAGTTAAATTCCTTCCCACACAGTTACCTCCATGTATCATTGATTTCACTGGTGGTTACTAGGTGTATTTGAGGGCAGAATTTGACTCCCCAGGCCTTTCTCTCCTGCAAAAATGTGACCATATTTTTCTAGCTAAGTTTGGTTAATGGCATCAGAACCCACAGATGGCACAACAACTGTGAGATTGGGATTCACGGTGGCGGGTGTGACTAATTCTAATTGAAAGGACACACAACAAATCCCTAATCTAACGGGCTGACGGGGAGCAAATGTGCATACAGCAGCAGCTTGTGCTTAGGGAAATGCTGTTGATCAAATTAATTTTAAAAATGAGATTAAACATATTTAAGACGGTTAAAGAAAAGTGCCTGGGTTCCTTACTGCTTGCTATTAGTTTCATGTTGGCAGCAGTCTCTGGTCTGGTGCTGTTTGAAAATCTTGTGGGGGCAGACAGAGCCTCTGCAAAAATTTGTCATTGGACTGTAACTTGAATTTGTGTTGTGTCACAATCGCAGCCTGTTTGAAAACTCATCTAAGTAGTTTGGAATCAATGTAGGATAGATACTACACAGCACTGGGTACCTGGGAAGGCCCTCCGTTCCACCCCATGAGAGAAACAACTTTCTGTGAAAGCAACAAGAGTTACTTCTATCCTCTAGTGTTAGCATAGGGTTCTGGTTTCTGAGGCTGATCTAAACTCACCCATCTGCGGGAGGATGTAAGGAAACATGAAGGAGGCTAATGGTGATGGTTTAAGCTATGTTAGTGCCTAGAGGTCTGAGTCAGTATCCAGGTCCCATTGTGGTAGTTATGTCAAAAACATTCAGAGATATGATCTTTGCCCACCAAAGAATTTATCTAAGAAGGCAAGTGATACACAAAATTAAATATATACGTTTTTCAAAATATTTGTGTGTGCATTTGCCATTTTTACTTACAAATAGACTGAATTAAGTGCCTCATCTCAATTTGCCTTTCAGCATAGCAAAAATTGTCTGATTTTTTTTGCATAGGCACCACAACAAATATGAAATAGTCTTCAGTAGTTATTACCCACTTTTTATAGTGCTATATGGACCAAAGTAATCTAAAAAAATTTGGAGAAGATTTTAGTGCCACTACCAGAAAACTGGTCTATACTTTGTGCAACTAACAAAGTATATACAGTACTGCATTTTGCACCCGCTGTAGTTTGAGTCATCTTTAAAACCACTCCTCTGCAGAGTATATTGCAACAATCCCATGAGGAAGTCACGAAGATGTGGATAACTGACCAGATCCATAACAGAGAGAAATATTATAAAATGCCTTACAGACAACAATAGAAAAAGGTTCTTTTGTCTACCAATGTCATCTGGGTTTCCAAGATCAGTAGATGTCTAAAAGCACCACTGCATTGTAAAACCATTTCGTAAGCTTATAAGTCCTTTACATCCAGGAAATGCCTGTTCCTTGCACATATGGAGAGACATAGCATGCATATAAATATTTCAGAACAAAATCTCTGAAAGATGTCAGCCCTCTTAAATTCTTAGTTAAGCCAGCGCAAGTGTTTAACCTAAAAAGTATCTGATGCCTAGATTGTAATCAAGTTCTGGATTTTGGAAGCCTTGAGGTGTGTGTGTGTGTGTGTGTATTTGTTTTTTATAAATCCGCCTGAAGAAAAGACTTTCCTAAGAAAGATTCAAGGTCAGTTCCCTATAGGGTCTGGCTGAGGATGTCAGACTTTTCCTGAAACCAAAGCATTCCTCTGCCAAACTACTGTATATAACTAATAGAGGAAAATCCCATAAATCTCTCTCCTCCATTTATCCTAGGTCAAAGAAAGGTTCTTGCATGAGCATTATGTGACCAACTGCTCTGACTGCCAGCAGAGATTAGAGCACGTATGGTACAGGAAGAGAGAGTTTAACCTTGCAGTCACAAATCTTCTCAGTTTACTGCTCAGTCAGCGCTTTGGAAATACATATATACAGTAATGTTAGATTAGCTCTTTAAAAAAGAAAAAAAAAGTACATTGAATTTTCATTCCATGATTCTAGCCCTGCTTTTCAGAATATTCACATACTATTTTAAGTTGTCACACAGTTGACTTCAAAGGAATTGTATTGAGGATTGAACCTCTGAAAGCTTTTTCAGTGGAAACTGAAATACAGGCTGAACCTTTCTAGTCTGGCACCCTTGGGACCTGACCATTCCGGGATCATAAGAGGTTAATATTGCCTAACAGCATTACCAACACTTCCACTGCTTACTGGGTTCTTCAAAGACATTTAGGGGTAAATTAGAGCTAAATAGCAGCACAGAACACCAAGAGCCAGAACTGGTGGCTATAAAACTTTATGGGACCTCAGGAAACTAGGCCACACCAATGAAAGATGGACATCTGGCTAACTGAAATGCCAGACCACGGATGTTGCTGGACTAGAGAGGTTCATTCTGTACTAGTAAATTTAAATGCTGGCTGCACCTTAGCTTTGGTACCACAATACTGAGGTTAATGCATATGTCCTGTGTAGGTGCCCACTTTTTTCAAATTTAGCGTTCAGTGTACAAAGGATAACTTCACCAATAGTTGAAATAGAGCTACTTCTGGGGCGCGACATGGCAGCTGTTAGGCAGAAGAATAGTTTAAGGGAGTGTAACTGCAGATTGATTATATCAAATTAAATTTCAAGGGGGAAAGACAAAGGCAATGTCTAGACTGCAAAGAAAAGTTGGAAAAAGATACGCAAATTGCAATTTGCGTATCTTTTTCTGCCTTTTTTTAAAGAGGCTTTTCTGAAATTTGGCCCATCTACACAGGGCCAAATTTCAGAAAAACCTCCTCCTGCGGAACATCCCTTCTTCCTCATACGATGAGGAATACAGGGATGCTGAAGGAACATGTACACTTTTTCAGAAACAGTTCCGAAAAAACGGACGTGTTCTTTTGATGCAGCATAGCTTTTCTGGGATACCTCTGGTGTCCCGGAAAAGCTCTGCAATGTAGACGTAGCCAAAGAAAGATTATAATAATTATCCCAGTTGGAGTTTGGGTAGGATACATGGGTTAACATATTCTTGAAATAAGTACTTAGATGGCCAATATTACCATAGTGTCTGAGAGCTTCACATCTCTAATGTATGAGACTCACAGCACCTCTGAAGTAGAGAAGTGCCATTATGTCGATTTCACAGGGGGACAGAGAGTAACTTGCCCAAGTCAAACAGGGAGTCTGTTGAGACCAAGGAATTGAGTCTGGGTTCCCTGAGTTCCAAATTAGCACCCAACCACTGGATCATTCTCCTTCCCATCTCATACCAGTATGCATTGCCTCCGACAAAAAAAAGTCACTCCCTGACACCATGCCTGCTGGTTCTATTTACAAATGGACCACGTTTTAATTTTCTGCAGAATTTTTTCTATAGAAAGTTTTTTTTTCCATTTTGAAATTTGCAATTGTTATTGTAATTTCAAGGTTTTTTGGGAAAATCCTGCCACAGCACTAAACTATTCATCATAATTGCTATTGCAAATGCTGAAAGGCAAAAATGCAAAATAATTTACCAAGCTAACTTTTTCATCGTTAATTTGACTTATTCTTTTTTTTTTTTAAATAAAATATGGGCATTTTTTTTGTGTGAAACTGTGTTTTTGGTAGGTTTGTTTTCAGAGGGAAATGTCCATCAACTTTTCAGAAAAAGTATTCTTTTTGAACTCTTGGAGAGGAAACCACATCATAGGAGTGACTGGCTGTGCATGTTTTGGGAATATTTCACTTTCTGCCTCTTTACCAAAGGAGCCTTGAAGCTTGTGAGATTGTGTTGCCTATTCAGTAATTCCTCGTTTAACACTATAGATACGTTTCAGAAAATGATTGTGTTAAGTGAAAACGTGTTATGCGGGGTCAATTTTTCCATTGAAAATAATGGAAAAGGTGGAGGTTGCGTTTCAAGCAGTGGTGTCTGTCGGGACCGGAACATAAGGTTGGGGGAGAAAGGGCACTGGGTTACAGCAGGGAGGGGAGGTATTTGGCTCTGGAGAACGGAAGGGGAGGAGAGGAGAGGGGGATTGGGTTCGGAGTATGCCCCTGTGACGGGTCTGCTGGGACCATTGCTGTGTCCAGCGAGGGGAGGTTTCCAGGGAATGGCATGGTGAGTGGCGAACCCTCCGCCGCTTTGCAGC